TGGTCAAAAGGAATCAATTAAAATTGGTAACTTTTATTAGTATTCTGTTCGAATAGGTTGACAAAGCATTCTCGAAAGCGTTTTAATCGAACGAAAGCTGAGAGCAGTGAGAAGTTTATCATTTTGTTAAAGTATATTTTCATTGCATGGAAAAACTTAAAATGAATAAAAAAGGGGTATGAATTAAATTTATAAAGGATAAAGGAAGTGCGATGGATAAGACAGTGGTTAAATCAGTAACATTTGAACTAGGATCCTGGGTTCGAATCCTAGAGTCTGACTCTCGCAGTTGGTTGATTGTCTCTTTAGTTTCAGCTGATATTCAATGTCCGTGGTCCCTTGATTGTTTACCTATACAACCACACTGCCTACAACCTACAAGTGTGATTTCTTCTGTAACAAAGACACAAATAAAACAAAATACAATGCCTTATCACGTGTCAGAAGATGACTACATTGGTCAGGGTTTCATTAATCTTGCTTTTGTATCCTAAAAATAATACGACTCTGTTTAGTAGGTTATCTGTAATAATAAAACGTGTCTGCATCCGATCCCGCTTTCGACTTCGAGACTGGAAACATAATCCTTGAATATATTCATCTTCTTCGCGTTCGTAACTGTCCGATTACCGTCAAATTAATCATTCCCGCACCTGTGGCGTTACTAGGCAACCGTTTCCTTAATTGGACTCTGGGCGTAGTTTTCCATGTTCTTGGGTAACAACAGAAGGGCGAAATGAAGACAAGAGGGAATTCATCACCTCGTTATGAGACAATGTTTATAGATTTGAAGAGAGTAAGATTGATTGGACGAAATTGAATTTGAGAAAGAGAATCTTAGGCACGATTTTTTTTTCTTGTTCAAGTGAGCCAGGAACGAAAAGATTAGTGTTTACTCTTCATGGTCAATCTACATGTTAATGCTCGATCTGCCATCTAAAACCAAAAATAGATGGGTTCTCCCTGACGTGGGTTCGACATACATCTTAGTCGATTTGCAATCCTCCTATAGTTAGTCCATGAACCATGACATAATGAGGTACTCATCAAGTCTCCAAGAATGACCTTTTATGTTTTTAAATTTGCAATATGCATGCATGAAATAAGATCGCTACTGCATATTGCACTTTTACTTATATTTGTCATTTCATTTCAAATAACTTTATTTCCATAACTCACTCAAAACACGAAAAATGCTTTTATGAATTTAATATCAAATGACATTCGCAAAATAACATAGAAAATGAAACTCATTATTTTGTAATGTTACAATATTGAATGTCGATATATATATATATATATAGCCATAGCCTGATATAATACAAGATATATAAGCAAAATAATATTATTATAATAAATGTAATGGAATTTAAAAAGAAATTTAGATTTCCATATAATATGTATTATGTAGCAATTTGTTTGCAAATATAAGGCCTAGTCATGTACACCTCCCCTGGAATCTAAATTAACGATCAAAATTAACTCGACATCAAAACGTTTTTCCCCAAGGTTAACGATTCGAAGAAAAATAAGCAAAAACTATAAGGGGAAAAATACTCATAGTAAGGAAGAACATGTCATGTTTAGCGCACTTAAAGGTGATCGCTGTTCGTGACGCCTTCCCATATGTTTCCTGTTTCCCATTTAAAAAATGATAATTACTTCAAATTTAATAAATGGACAGAATCTCGTTGGATAGTATTAGTATTTGTTTTTAAAGCTACACAGAATGATGCCGAGATTCTTTATTCCAATTGTTTAAGTGAATGATATCTCAAATTTGATATCAAAGGATTGATCGCTGATTTGCAAAAGGCATGCATACATCCTAGGGGTAATTTTCAAATTGATACTAAAAATTAGTATGAATTTCCAGAGATTGAATTTTAAATTATTTATAAAATATTACAAAGTTTTCTCGAAAAGAATCCTTTTGGCATCATGAGTATTTGCCGCAGAGGGCAGTTGCAAGATTTATTGCAAATGGTGGATTCATTTTTGTTCTTTCTTCGGAAGCAATAAACGGCCTAGTGAATGAATTCGGTTGCATGGACATTACGAATCAACGAATCAATCGTAATTTTTAGCATTCAGTAAAAGCAACATTATGCAGTATTATTCCTAGATCGAGTTACCACTAATATAAAGATAATTTAAATGCAGGGAATATTGTTTATTAAAATTTTCTCTTTGTTTTGAAAAGCAAGGGGGGTGGCCCGGTGTTTTACCACAGTACTCGGTAGTGGCTCACGAAATTTCCGTAGAGATCAGTGCTATATACGGATCCAAATACAAAGTGGGCGTGGTACTCTAGGTGGGCGTGGCATATTGACGGATTCAAGTTATGATTTCAGTATCTTATCGGGAAACATTATTTCTATGACCAAAATTACGTCAATCCTTAATAACTGTATTTTTTGCTTGTCATCCCCGATTTGAGGAGGGGGGGGGGGATTTCTCCTTCCCCCTTTCCCATCATATCGTGTTACGGCTGTGTTTATTTTATGTTTGAATAAATCATTTGAATTTGAATTTAAAAATTGCCCTACCATGTGTCTAGGTTTATCATTCGCTGTTTTTTATATATTTTAATTCAATGTAAAAACGAAGAAAAAAGTACATTCGACACTATGATTGGATGAAAACAGATGTTGAAAGTTTAATACCCAGTCACAATTTGTTGAATTTCCCAAAAGCACGTTCAAGCAGCACTATGGAAAGCCGAAATTACACTTGGCATTCCATACATATACCGGATTGGGGGTAGTCAGCTGCATGTACGTAATCCCGACAATGAATCATCCATCGATTTAATTAAACGAAGGAAAAAGTTACGAATTAGAGAGGTCCTAAAGGGGACATATTTTGTACGGATGCATGGCTAGCAGACATGGCAAGCGAAAGATAGCGAATTCTAAGCCAGGCAGGCGAGGAAGAACGTCAAACATGCGTGAACCAGAGGAGGAAGAGATTGAACTCGACGCTACGTCAGCAACAACTTTTCTAATGTCGGGCTTTTCAACGGCGGTCAAGCGGCAACGCCAGAGGTTCGGGCTGCTCATAGGACTGTTCCTGCTTGGCTGTGTGGTTGTTATAGCACTAGCTGGAGGTCTAGCATGGACTCTATCAAAACACACTGATGTGCCTTTGAACGTGCCTGCTAATCCAGCTCAATCGGCAGCTGGAGCTAATGACATTCAGAAGAATGATCCTGCATATGGTCTTTCGACTAAAACAGTATTTGTAGGTGGCTTTTTTTGTTGATTAAATTGTGTAGATATTCACCGTGTTCAACTCAACTTCCTATTTATAGTCATACCAAATAAAAAGTCATTACTGAAGCTATTTATAGAAGGGCTTTTGAATGTTAACTATGGATGGTGGTAAAGAATTCCAGTCTGTAAGTTTAATGTTAGTGTTTTCAGAGGGATTCTTTAACTAACTTAATTATAATAACTACATGTACATGTACATGTATCTTCTGGTTAGACAAGTAATTGAGCTGAGTGAAGAAGGGTTTGCATGGGAATGGAGAGGGGTACCCTTAATGACTTTGAGATTACTGTTTTCATTCCACATCTGTTGATGTTTGACTTTTCTTCTTCCAGTGTAAGTGCTGCTTCAAGGTGATGAAGATAAATAAACTTGCAATGTTAAAATCATGGTTTATTAACTTTATGCATTTTGACAGCTTTGAAATAAAAGTGTGCATATATTCTACTTATTACTTATTTATTATACACAGCAGTGGTTTATCATGGTAGTGAACTCTTATTAAAATAATTTTTATGGAGAAAACTGCCTCAAAAAGCAAACAAAAATAATTTTGAAAAAATGAAATTGCATAATATGTAAGTCGAGTGTATTTCACATTTCTGTAACTTATAACGCACAGATCAGTGAGTCTATATTCAGTGGCTGTTCACTTTCTTTTCTTTTCTGTTTTTCTTCTTCTTTTCACTCCAACTTGCAATTAATTTACAAAATTTAATAGTTTCATCTAACAGTCTTTTATATGGGGGTGTTTTATTTGTTTTGTGAAAAGGCACTTTACCATCTTGTACATGTATCTCAATAAGGCCTTGTTCTGAATGTTTCCATTTCTTCATCAATCGTTAGCCCAAAGCTTCTCGGGGCTATGTCAAACATTCATTGCTGTACTAATAAAACAGGAAGTTAAAATGCAAGTAGGATTGAATTAATTTCCCCTGCTGGATGAATGGATTGAGGGCCTTTTCCAATTACACTCTGCTAAAAATTTGGGGTCTTCAAGATGAAGTGAATGCTCATTTCCCCCTTCCTCAAGTATGATATATACTCTGGACCAATCCTTGCTAATTCACCCATCACCTTGTGTAGGAAGTCTGACAAACTGATATGAATATGTTGAGTACAGGAATATTCTAAAGCCTGTAAAGGACCTTGTACATGAACAAGTATAAGTGTTTTTCAGTATATTGCTGGTATGCTTGATTACACTGTACACACCAAATGGCACTATTTTCATATAAACTGCGTATGAGTATGAGTGTCTATTTTATGAGTGCTTATCACATGAGATTTTTGTTCCTTCTCTTGGTTGATTGTTGATATATTTTGAATATTATAAATACACTTGGAACTCAGAAGATTTCAAAGAAAACCCTGTCTTCCTTGTGGAATACATGTTTTTCACTGCTTGAAAAAGTATTTTTCGCGCTAGACTTGAAAGCAATGCAAAATATATGAAGTCATTTGATATTATTAAAAAAAACACTAATCAAAAGCTGCTAGTCATTGGAAAATGACCAAACTTGCCACCCCTATCCTGTAGACATCCTTCTGTGTCAATCATTTAAAACCAACGATTAGAAAAAGAAAAAAAAATCAGAACAATGGTTACTACAGTGTACATCAGAGAATTCATATTGAAGTGAAGATTGCAAAACATATTCAAGCTCTTTTCATATCATTTTGTAAATGTTCAATGTTTTTGTTGCTACTTTCCGATCTCATTGCAGAATAATCACCAAGCTTCTATGCTGAGTACATCTTCTATGAAATCTGTGGCCAATGCAGTCAACGTTCAGGACCTCAAAAGACAGGATCTGAACCCCCTGCTCATCCCGAGGATCCCCGATACATTAGGCAGTCAGGCAGCACGTAATGTAAGCTCACCATTCAAGTTATCTCTTTTCCACGTTTCAATTATTTGTTGATGTGTGATAATCAATTAGAGGAGCCGGGCAATATTGGATATAAGCCTAGCTCACCAAGTAATTTCTTTGTGTTCTGCCTTTTGGGTATTTGTTAATGTACATGTATGATAAAACAGTTACAGGAGCCAGGCAGCATGGGGTGAAAGTTCACTATTCAATTTCTTTCTTTTCCATTTTTCAATCATTTGTTGATGTGTGATTGTGTGATAAACAATTATAGTTAATCCAACAAATAGCTTACAGGCTTTATGTCGCTTTCTTATCTTTACATGATATATGTAAAGCTAAAGCCTCGGTCACAAATGCCATTACGAACCGCTACGAACGCAGTACGAACAAATTTCAGGCAATGGAAATTTGGGAAGACAATGGAAAAATAGGGAGATTCGTACGAACCTTTGTGACCATAGCATAAGACAAATCGTTGTATCGATGTATTGGGCGCTATATAAAAGCAGAATATTATTACTTTTATTATCTGTGGATAGCAGGAAGAGCATCACCTAGTTTGCAGGCACAGACCCTTGTCAGTCGTTGTGCGTAACGCTGTCTCCACTATGAGACTACAATAGAATACCGAAGCTGTGACGTCATTAGGAGCCAGGGCATATAACACTGAGTTCCCATAGGACATATATTCATTCAGATGGTCAAATCTCAGCCAATAATTGACATATTCAATTGGTTCTCCACGTTTGGACATTATTTTTGATGCTCTTTAGGAAAATGAAGACAAAATTAAGAAATTCTAAAAATACATTTTTGATGACGTCACACTTCACCAATCACCACTCTATAGGCTCTGCACTTAGCTGTTTGACACAGCCAGAAACTGACAGATTTAACCTCATCTCAGGGCCGTAGGAATTGTGGTAAAGTGGTAAAATTGTCAATTTGCAAACTTTATAAATACCAAATATAGAACTTTGTCTGGGAGGCCTCACAAATCTTTGTCTAGAAAACTCAAGGGCATGTAATTGATACACCATACATGCCCAGCCAACATTGTTAATGCAATACCCTTTTATTTCCTTTCCTCTCAACTTAAAACGTCCTGCCAATTTAGGATAGAATAGTACAACAGCTGTTTAGTTTGCTTCTTCTGATGTAGGCTCTATTTGCCAGCCTGCATTGTGTCAATTTTCAGTAGGATCAAAAGATGATTGTCTATTTGTCAAATAATTTCTAGATATGGCCTTGTTTTATGTTCTAGCAGAGAGGTACAATTATTGAGTCCGACTGTTGAGAAAGAGTATATTTATTAGTATTATAACTCGGTCTACCCCAATGTTTCTTGATCCAATGCATATACATTTATTTTACTTTATGTGAAAAAAGTTAAAAAGACATCGTTAAACATGCTTTGAAGGTCATATACTGGTATAGCTTAAAAGGACTGTTTTATGTTTATGATATTGTACCCAAGGATGCTTCAGAATTTTTTCCCCTCATATTCTTTTTCTTCTCTTTCTTGTTGTTGTTGTTGTTGTTGTTCTTCTTCTTTTTCTTCTTGTTCTTCTTGTTCTTCTTGTTCTCGTTCTTATGCTTCTTCTTCTTCTCCTTCTTTTGTTTTTGTTTTTGGTGTATTTTGTTGTTGTGAAATGTTTCTATGATGGTTGAAAATAAAAATTAAGAAGATTAGCCCATTGACTTCTGCATTCTTTTATTCCCCCAGTATAACATAGTACTCATCTGTTTTACCTCTGTTCATTAAGTTATTGACTTCTTAATTATTTATTTTTTAAGCCATAGTTTGTTCACTTTGAATTATATCAGTTGTAATGTAACTATGCATATTGACAGTGAAACTCAAGAAATCACAATATTTATTACTTTGAGCTGCTTGTCGATAATGTTCCAATAGAAAAAACCTTTAAAAAGTCATCAACGAAATTCTTAGGTGCATATATAAATGAAAAATGTAACTGGAATGATCATGTGAACTATATCTCTACCCCTATTTCTTGCAATATTGGTATACTATTTAAGCTAAAATAATTTTTGCCAACACATGTGCTTAGTATGCTATATAATACATTGGTTTTACCTTATATTTCTTACTGCAATATCATATGGGCTACTCATAAGTGCAATACTAATCGTATATTACTGTTACAGAAAAAAGCAATTCGAGTTTGTACCGATGCAGGTTATCGCGACCACACTGACCGTTTATTTGCCACATTAAAAACTCTAAAAATAAGTGATATACACTACATGCAAAAATCTCTGTTCATGTTTCGGCCCAAATCCGGCAATCTTCCCCCATCACTAGTCATTTTATTCCAACATAACTTTAATTTTCATTCCTACCCAACCAGGCATTCCAATGACTATCACCTATTTAACGCCAAAACAGCCTTACATGTAGCTCAAAACTCAATTAGACATTCTGGCCCTGATACCTGGAATGCACTATCCCCTGAAATAAAAACGATGAATACAATGCTATCCTTTAAAAGAGTGGTGAAAAAGTTTCTTATTGCTCATTATCTTTAAATTCACCAACAAAATAAGTTCTCCTCGTTTACCCATTGTTAGAAAAAATTTCTGTACTGTTTACTTTTTTTGCTTCCATTCATTGAAACGTTGATTATAACCTTCCATGACCTGGTATGAATAAACGTATGAATAAAGAGTGGCCTACTTGGGATACTGAATAAACACTGTCTTCTATACAAACATTTCAAGGCTCCGACTCGCAGGCCCAGGTTTAAAACCGCATGGCTGATCTTACTTTCACATTTTTACTGTCCGAACCTCGCGAGTCTTCTCATTCTATTGTATCCCAAGTTGGCCACTCAGTATTCAAATTTGCATTTTCTTTTCTTTTTTAAAATCTTTATATATCAATTTGAAATCCAACTACCACATAAGTCTGTGAATATCGATGTGCATCCCCTCTTTCTTTTCTCTTCTTTTTTCTGTCTTTTCCCCCTTTTACCAATATTTTGTTCCTCCATATTTGTATTATTATGTATCCTTTGAGGGTAGTCATACTATCAAGCTTTGCTTATTTTGTCAACCCTCCTGTTTGATGTTCTTGATTAGTAACACCCAGCCTTACTTTATTCTACATATATTCTTTTTTCATGTGTAAATTTGCAATATTTGTTTGTTATATATTTGTAAAAATGCAAAAGAAAAAGAAAATCAAACAGAAATAAATATATCAAATCAAACCTTGTGACTCAGCACTTTGACAAGTTTATAAGTGTCTGATGAGGCTGTTATTCACTGGTTGCATCATACATACAAACATGTCCTACCCTTTTTCTCCCCTCTCTAGCACATTGTTAGCCAGCTGGCCAGCATTGGGGGATGGGACATAGATCTACACACATTCCAAGCCACGGCTCCACAACCCTTTGGCGTGACAACATTCACCAACATCATCGCCACGGCCAACCCCAATGTCAAGCGTCGTCTGGTGCTTGCCTGCCATTACGACAGCAAGTACTTTGAAGGTCAGGAGTTCATCGGAGCCACAGACTCGGCTCTCCCGTGTGCCCAGCTCATCTACTTGGCTCGGTCCCTGGCGAATCCCTTGAGGCAAGCTAATGCTACCAACCCTGTAAGTCATCACTTGGGCATTATAATCTGTATTAGAAGAAGAAAAAAATCTTCATCATGACATTATTTGTATGTCGTCTTATATTAAAAATACATGACAATTTCATGTTGCTAATGATAAAGCTCTAGAGTATAACCAGCTGCGATTCATAGTAACAACTCATGCTCTGTTCAATTCAAGGTTTATTAAAAAATATCTTCGCAGCCGTAGAAGGCCGATTTGGGATACAATTCACAGATAAAAACATGCAAAATTACACGGATGAAGCTATTGTCTGTTTGATGATTCTGCTTGTTTCTATGTACCCGCTGTCTATTTTAAAATTGTAGTACTTCATTATTTTTATGATGTAATCACAGACACATGCACAGCCCAATTTATAAGTGAACATGCCTTCCTATACATAATTCTCTCCTCTTTTTTTTCTCTCTCTTCCATTTACTATTTTTTTCTTCTTTCCTATCAACATTCTGTTATATAAAATGTAATTTTCATAATAATATCTATAATGTTCTCTCGGTAACTGTGTTAACGTATTATGGGCGTTCCCAACTCAAGCTATGCTTTCCGGGTTTTCGCTTCCTTCCGTATCTGAATTATTTACTGTATACTCTATGTTAAAATAATTGTTACATATATCATATATATATACATTGTGTTTCATATTGTACTTTTGAGAAGGAAATAAATGTTAATAAATTCAATACAAATACAAATATACATATCAATTACAATGAACATCGATTGGCATAATCTGTTGTGCCCTATTGGGCCCAGATTGTAGATATTTGATGAATTGACATTTTAACGATGGGCTAACAGTGATTCTTTATAGAGTGATTCTTTATAGTGTCTTCTATCTTCTCCTAGGAAAGAACCACATTAAGCTATCTGATGTACAGTTGTCCTGTCATAACAGTGGATAACAAAACAAAAATTCCACTTACTTTAAGCTTTCCTCTTTCAAAGTCAAATTCAATCTCTGATTTCTGTTCATCTATTGCAGCCCGTCACTCTCCAACTCATATTCTTTGATGGTGAGGAGGCCTTTGTGTCATGGACAAACCGCGACTCCATCTACGGAGCACGCCAACTCGCTAAGGATATGTTCAACACACCTCATCCTTATCCAGGGTCAAACACTAATCTTCTTGATGGCATGGTAATGATGATTGCGATGACGATGATGATGATGATGATGACGATGACGATGATGATGCTGACGGTGATGATGATGATAATGATGATGACAAGGATGATGATGATGATGATAACTTTCCTGATATTCTGCATGTAGTGCATGCGTTTGTGTGTGTGTGTGTGATTGGGTTTTTACAGACGTGTATCAATCAGATATGATTATTTATGTCTGGGGACTAGCCTTTAACGTCACCATCCGAAAGACTCGACTCAGTTTCGAACCGGGGTCGCCTGAGCCAGCTTGTAGGCAGAGAGATGACCCAGTGAACGTGCCGCTAAGCCCGCTAGACCAACTCACAAAAATAACATTTGACAATTAAATGATAATCTTGAGATCTGGTATATATAGATTTGAAATTCTTCCTGAATCCAACACAATTATCACTTACCAAATGTTTATTTGATATAAATGAAAATCATCTGCCAAAATGATCCTTAATGAAAATGTATATTTACAAAGTTAGGACCTAAATTTATGAGGCAATTTAACAAAAGTGAGAACTATTTCCAGGCAATGTACCTTATCTCTCATTTTCTCTACAAAATTTCCCAAACTTATCAGTGTCCTCAATTTTCAGTGTATGTGGTTTTCGGCAAGCTTTTTGCCATTTTGATTAAATTTGGCTGGCCTAAAGTATACCACAACTTTGGATGATTACATGATAGCAATCCACAAGGATTCATTTAAAAACGTTTTTTTTCTAAATAAAGCTTCACTGCATGTAATAGTAATTATCCTTCAACACATGCTTTTGTAATACTATCAATAATTGTAAATACTCTCATTTTTTTCTTTCAGGATATGTTTGTTTTACTGGATCTTCTTGGAGCTAGGAATCCTGCTTTCTATGATTTCTTCCAATCAACATCGGTCTGGTACAACCACATGAAGGATATAGGTGAGGCTCCTGTGCAATCCATGGGGGGGGGGGGGGTGTTTCACAAAGATCTTAAGTTGAACTTATCTCCAAGTTGGACATAACACTTATGGAAAGCCGATAGCAGCTTTAACAATATTTTGTAAAAGTTCTTTTATAAGGCATAAAATGTTAATTCAAATTATCCATATTTTCTATTATCATGGAGATTTCATGTACTCAAATTTGAATTTATGAAAAGTCTTAAATACTTGAATTTTCACTTTTGTATATGTTTTATTTTAAGGCTACAAATGGCTCTCCATAAGTTTTATGTCCAATTTAGAGTTAAAGATAAAGACCAGTTATGGTCATGGGATTGCATTGTGAAAGAAACATGAAATCGATCAGCTAGGTTGATCATCTAGCATAGATGTACTGCAAGGTTCTGGAATCATCAGAAATTTGGCCCAGTCTTCAAAGTTACAAGCACTGTACACAGAAAGATGTATATGGGACTACGCACACATGCGCGACACGTGCGTTTTTATCTCTCACATACCAAGCTGAATGAGCTAACTCTGTCATCATGAAATGAGTTTTTCATATTAGTTTCATGACTTAACTCTCAAAGCGACTCCCCCCCCCCCCTCTTTCGGTAAGTTTGTTGCAATAGGTTCAATGATATTTTATCTCAATTATTAGACAATGTTTGATACCAAATTTCTAAAAATGTCATCATTCAGTTCCCGCACTTAATTAACAGTTGCTGCCGTGCCAAAAAACAGATTTTGATTTGATTTGATATGGTTTGATTCAATATTGTAAGTGGATATAATTTTATACATATAATATATGAAATTAAACAAATATTTTTTTGTTGATTTGATTTGATTTTATTTCTGCATTTTTTCCATATAAAATATAACTGAATAACAAAGAACATATAAATGTAAGGTATAATACAACATAAACAAACAATAATTTCTTCATGTCAAAATGTTTTTTTTACATAATATATGTACATATAATAACGAAACTTAATATTTCCATAACATATAATCATAAATTTAAAGTATTATCCGAACTATTCTGTTGGAAAAGTGCAGGAGACCGCAATCATAAGCAAAGCTTGACAAGGATGGCGGCCTCAAAAAAACAAAAAAAACAAAAATCTTAAGGTAAACCTTAAAATGAAAAAGTGTTTAAACGATCTTTGTTTATGAGTTGGTGAGTGTGTTGTGCAAGTGTATATATATTGAATGCATAATTAACATAAATTAGATACAACAATAAAAAATAAAATAAAAAAAGCAGAAGAGTGACTTGCACATGTACATTGATTGCAGTGCAGAATAGTCACCTGCAATTATAGATCAATTGATTAGCAATAAGTGGAACATTGTTTGGGATACTGAAATGAAACGAAATGAGTTTATTCATCTATAAGATGCCCCCTCCGATTGCCAAGTTTCATATTTTGTTGTTGCTTTGCGGTCGAGATACGGCTGGGAGGTGAATGTTAGATAGTATCTTTGATCATCTAATCCAAATGTTTCTCTTTCTCCCTTTCTCTCTCCCTTTCTCTCTCTCTCTCTCTCTCTCTCTCTCTCTCTCTCTCTTTCTCCCTTTCTCCCTCTCTCTCTCTCTCTCTCTCTCTCTCTCTCCCTTTCTCTCTCTATCTCTCTCTCCTCTCTCTCTCTCTCTTTCTCTCTCTCTCTCTCTTTCTCCCTTTCTCTCTCCCTTTCTCTCTCTCTCTCTCTCTCTCTCTCTCTCTCTCTCTCTCTCTTTCTCCCTTTCTCCCTTTCTCCCTCCCTCTCTCTCTCTCTCTCTCTCTTTCTCTCTCTATCTCTCTCTCCTCTCTCTCTCTCTCTCTCTCTCTTTCTCTCTCTCTCTACACAGAGCAAAGACTGAAAAGAGGCAGGGTGTGGTCTGGTTCTTCCACCACTCCTTACTTCAAAGGCAGGCAGTGGTTAAATGCTGGCATGCAAGATGACCACATCCCATTCTTGAATAAAAGTAAGTGTCTTCTGTTCCCCAATTGAAGTGAAGCTTATCAAAAAGCGATTCATCCGATAGGTGATGGTGTGAATATTGCAAATGCGAATGGCTATTGATTCAAAACAAAATTGTTTTGTAGGATAGATCAAGTTAAATTTCAAGGGTTTGAGTTTACATATATGTGATCAAAATGAACCCCAAACCCACTGCTACCCCCCCCCCCCCCAGAAGGGTAACCGTTGTTGATGTTGTTATTGTTTTCATCCTCGCTTGCCATTTGTGTTGCAAAGAAAAAATAGTGCATTTTCCTGGGTCATTTTTAAAGTTGCTTTTAAGATAATGTTGAGTTCTGGTCATGCGATTACATTGGTGAAAAAAAAAAAAACCTCCAAAGAATTGGGAGAAAAAAAACAAGTGTCTTCTGATAGGTTTTAGAATCATCCAAATGATAAGAAATTGACTCGGTTTAAGTGGAAAGGACATGCACTGCACACAAAGATGGGTACGGGGTATGTTGGACTACACACATGTGGAATGAAAGTTTGGTCCAAACACTTCAGCTATTTCTGAACATATTTCAAATATGACGACATTTGAAGAGCATTCCTTTTCAGCGGAAATTTCTACTTTGATATTTGTCTAAACTGACATAGAATTATTGAGAAGGCTTACAAACTATTTTTCATTGTTACCGAAATTTAAACTTCACTTTAATCTCATATTTTTGTCTTTCTTTGTTCTTTTATTTTGTCTTTCATGTAGGTCCCATCTTATTTCTCTCAGTTAAATCAGTACTCTATATTGACCACTTATCTTTATGTTATTTATTATCTATCATTGATTGTTTTTTCATCACAAAAAACCAACAACTTGTACTTTATTTTGAAATGTATATGTAACATGAGAAATATGAAAATAAATGAAATGAAATGAAACTATTTTTTCCTTTTTCCTTTCTTTGTTCTCCCAGATGTGAGAGTCCTGCACCTCATCCCTTCTCCATTCCCCTCCGTGTGGCACACGATGAGTGATAATGCAGCGGCCTTAGATGACAACACCATCTCAAACCTCAGCAAGATCTTTCATGTATTTGTGACGGAGTACCTTAGCCTCACGGTCCAATGATAACTTAAATCCATCCAAACAGATAAAACTTCTATTTTGGAATAAGACCGGTTTTTTTAAGGGGAGGGGTTGGGGGAGGAAGATACTTTACTTTACTGCCTTGTGGGGCTGATGATTTGAAATCATTTCATGTTATATTCCGTATAGTACCTTCGTACATGAATAAATTATAGCAAATATCACCTCCTTATTTTACATTTCTCATTGATTTGACAACACCATCTCAGACCTCAGCGAGATCTCTCACGCCTTTGTGATTTGAGTATCGTAGCTTGCCCATACCGTTGATATTTGAATGCATCCAAAAGATATGGCATCATCCATTTTGGAATAGAAATCTGTTATGGAGAGAAGGGGAGGAGGAGATTTCACTTCACTGCCATTTATGGGCTGATCTTTAATTATTTCATGTTAAATTCCATTTAATTAAATATAGCAAATATCTCCCTCATGTTTTTTTTATTTTTTTTTGTTGGCAACACTTTGTCAAACCTTGGCCTGCCCTTCCCATCAAAAGTAAAATGCATCCAAAGAGATGTGACATCACTTGCCCCCCCCCCCTTTTTTTGTTATTATTATTGATTTTCTCATTGATTTTCTCTATTTTCATAATCTCCCTTTTTCTTCTGGTTTTCTTGTCTTAATGCTACCAGGCATTTCTTATGTTATTTCGTAAGGCAGATTTATAGACATTTTATTCTGTCAGTCATAACTATATATGTTATCAAATAATTTTGTAGGGTGGAGGGAAATTTGAAATAGGTTACTGCAGGTATCTCTTAATTTAAAACAAATCCCTGACTTGGATGAAAAAAATGTGATATCATAGTAATAGATAGTCTTTGAAATGGCCTTTAAGCCCATGGTGTTGCGTTATCTGATGTAGAATTACATTCCACATTCTCTGTGAGGAGTTTAATTTTTTTTGTAGAAATTGAAAACAAAGTGATATTTTTTTTATTTGTGAATCAACTCCTTTTTTTTTAAGTACTTACAGGGTTTGTTTAATGTGCAAAACTTGTGTATTCAAAGCTTTATGAAATATAATTGAACCATTGATTTGTATATATTATTATTAGCCATATTTGTATGTTAAGAATGAAATTCTCAAATATACATGTATATAGCATTGATTTCTTAAATTCTGAATCGTAGCCCTATAGGGTAATTTTTATTGCATTCTTATTTATCCCCAGATTTATTTCAAATTGTAAAGTGTGAAAAGCTTTCAATAGTATGAAAAGAATATGTAATTTTACGATGACATAATGTGGACGGTATTAAAAAATAATATCCATAATTTCAATTTTTGCAGTATGGCATATAAATATTTCAATTTCTGTGCATTAAATATCCCAGTACAGATGCATGTAAGTAGAGAGAGAAAGATGTCAAAGACTGTACAGAATAGTGGCTTGTACGTGGGTGATATATGATGAGAGTCGGACAGCTACTTGAAATAATGATAGAAGAAATATGAGAAAGAGTTGGGTGAGTGAATCACTTGGTTTGGCATCATCAGGTGCAGACAGGACTTTACTACGGAGAGATCAGAACAAGGAATGATGGTGGGAAAAAGTCAAGATGTATAATGGCTGTCTTTGGACGGTACCTGATCGATTGATTGAAGATCTTGAATTGGAAATTTATCCTGTGTTATGTTTTCTTCTGTTGGCAGTGATGGCCCTAGCCATGAATGCGTTGTGTCCAGTGGCCCAAAGTAAAGACTACATATAATTTTTTATGTAGCCAAAGAATAGATCATGTTGTAGTTTGGTCTGTTTTTTGCATATTATATCTGAATTATTCTTCTTTTACTCTTACATGCACCATTTTGCTCTCCCTAACTTGATAAAAAAGAGTGCAGAGAGAATAATTTTCCTGTAAATTATTTAGAAATTACAGTATCGTATCAGGGGCGGATCCAGGATTTTCCAAAGAGTGGGGGCATGAAATGTGTGAAGCCTGGAGCCTTTAGGGCATGAGGTCCGGGGCCCACTAAGGGCCCCAGAAAATGTTGAACCTTGAGATGCTCTTTGGTACATCTTGAAGCATTTCAAAATGCGTGAACAAGATTTATGTGAATAATTTCTTAGCTTTTTTAAGGTAAAAGGGGACGTGTGCCCCCATGCCCGCCCCTGGTTTCGCCCTTGCGTGTGGATCAAAGACCGTTCAATATTTTTGTTAGTGCCCAACTACTTGGAGGTAGAGATATATTTTTTCTTCAATGAATAAAGATAAAGCTTTTGTGAAGAGTTACTGGATTTTGTGTGAATATGTTTGATTGTTTGCAATCTTCGAAGGCTATTGTTTTGGAAGAGAATGATGCTTGCAGGTCAAGAGAATGTGATAAAATGGTTGTTCTTCTATGGCTGCAGAGAAAAAGATTTGTGAATTATAAAACTTCTATGTGAAGACTAAGAATTTCTGTTATCTTGTTCTCCTCTGCTTTTATTATTCCCTTCCATCAACTCTATTTTTCAGTTTGTAATGTACACATTTATGTCTTCCTCGAACACATTCCTTTCCCACTCCTTTCTCTCATTCTCTCTTTCTCTCCCTCTCTCTCTCTCTTTCTGTCCCTATATGTATCTTACTATGTCTGTCTCTTTCTTTCTCTCATTCTCTCTCTCTCTCTCTCTCTCTCTCTCTCTATCTCTCTTTCTCTCTCTCCCTCTTAATCACCCTATCCCGTCCCCTCGCTCCTGTTCTCCCCTCCTCCAGGGGCGTAGACAACGGGGGGATGAGGGGGATGCATCCCCCCCACCTCACAAGGTGGGAGGGATGGCATGTACAATCATCCCCCCCAGGTTTTGGGGAATGATATTTGCTTACTTAATAAGTCATAATGATGATAATAATAGTAATAATAATAATGATAACAATTATAATATTAATAATAATAATAATTATGATGATGATAATAATAATCCTCATCATTATTGTAATTGTGTTTATTGTTATTAGCCGCATTCACACGGTGAAAGCCAATTCAGACGGTAAAAAAAAGAAAATCTTACAAGTATTTTGTGGTTATCTTGTGGTTTGGAAACCACAAGATAACCACAAGATTAAACAGGCGCGGATCTACGGGGGGGGGGGGGGGGGGGGTTAGGGGTTTAAACCCCCCCCCCCTTGGGCGGCCCAAAAAACAAACAACAAAAAAAGGGGGAAAAAAAGAAAAAAAGAAAAGAAAAAAGAACGCACGCTGGAGAGAAACCCTTTCAAGTGCAAATATTGTGAGAAGATATTCAACTCATCTGGTAACTTAACCAAACACAGTCATGATAACTCTGGATATAACTGTGTATTTAACTGTTACTTGATTTAAAAAGACGTTATCATGCACTGCTTTTTATGGTCTAAATTGTGTTAATAGATGCCAGGAAAACATCACTTACGGGGTTCAAATAAACACCCAAAAAAAATCGGCTCGCCGCTTCGCGGCTCGTGGACGATGCTCTGCATCGTCATTATTTTGGTCAACCCCCCCCCTTAGCAAAAAGCTAGATCCGCCCCTGAGTCATCCCCCCAGGTGTACGAACCTGTCTACGCCACTGCCCTCCTCCCACCCCCTTCCATCCTGTTAGCCATTAAATCCAGGGATGTCGTTACGGAGAGGGAGCAGGGGCGGTTGCCCAACGATTTTGCAAAAATGGCCCCACAAAGTCACAACCTTTTTATTGATATGTGTAGCATGTCAGAGATTCTTGACATCTGCCTCACCCGTGCCCCTTAAAAAGAATGACTCCTCTTGAACTGAATTGAAATGAATTCGTCGTCGATATTATGAACCAACGATTATATTGATACACTCCGGGATATACTATATGAGGGATTCGTCGGTTCATAATAATGCTAACGAATTGTTGGTGTATGTGTGATTTGACGTGGCTTGATGAATGACAAATTACCCTTGTGTCTTAATTTTATAGTCTGGCAGCAATGTACAGTTTTCACTGATATCTCCCTTATCTACATTGCATTTACTCTAAACATTATAATTATGATTGTGTTCTATGTCTATCACAAAGCATTTGGGGACAATATTCACACAGTGTTTCAGTTTGGTACAGTTTATTAGATTGAACAATAGTGGTATCATACCATTTCTCCATACATATCAATTAAAAAATAAATACAAAAATATGTAAATGTACAATAAACAAAACTTAAAGAAAATATGTAGATGACCAGGCGCGCATGTGTAAAATTAGATAGTAGATAAAATAGATTTTGCGTTCTGGTCATCAAATCTTTGTTTTTCTTCCTGAATCCATACACCCTCAAACGCTAAGGAACAGAACTAGGTCTAATTATGTTCAAAGCAAAGCAAAACAATCGTTTGAAAATTACCTTTTGTACAAATATGTGCAGTTTCGTTTGCAAGGTCAAATAAGTATGACTCAATTTGAGTAATATTCGTCGTTATTGCAGTATATCTTCTAGAACATAGAAAATAGAATAGATTTTAAGAATTTATTAACGATAATTATAGAGTGCTTATTGGACGATGTATTTAATCAAGCAACGTGCCTGATAGTGAAAGGAATGATAACATGAATTTAGACAGAACAAAAAAATTAATTAGGATAAATGGTAAATCATACCATTTCTCCATACATATCAATTAAAAAATAAATACAAAAATATGTAAATGTACAATAAACAAAACTTAAAGAAAATATGTAGATGACCAGGCGCGCATGTGTAAAATTAGATAGTAGATAAAATAGATTTTGCGTTCTGGTCATCAAATCTTTGTTTTTCTTCCTGAATCCATACACCCTCAAACGCTAAGGAACAGAACTAGGTCTAATTATGTTCAAAGCAAAGCAAAACAATCGTTTGAAAATTACCTTTTGTACAAATATGTGCAGTTTCGTTTGCAAGGTCGAATAAGTATGACTCAATTTGAGTAATATTCGTCGTTATTGCAGTATATCTTCTAGAACATAGAAAATAGAATAGATTTTAAGAATTTATTAACGATAATTATAGAGTGCTTATTGGACGATGTATTTAATCAAGCAACGTGCCCTGATAGTGAAAGGAATGATAACATGAATTTAGACAGAACAAAAAAACTAATTAGGATAAATGGTAATTTATAGTAAAAATAAAATAACGAAACATTCACTTCAAGTAATGTAACAGTAATGGCAAGCAAAGAAGTAATATTTTTCAGCGCTCTGAAAATGAGTTAGTATTTACAAATTATGCTGCATTAATAATTATTATCGTACATATATTATGTAAATATTATTTCGTATGCTCCAATATAAGTGGATGACTTCACACCATCAGCGTAAAATTCTATTTCAGTTTTCCTTTGAAAATATGACCAGCATTTGCATCATCATCTATATATCAACCGGTAAATGTATGTAGTTTTAAAGTCTAACAGGATAAATGTGCAACCGAAAGCTGTATTATTATAAACCATTAATACTCCTGTCGTACTGGATTCAAACCCTAGCTCGAAGCAATCAGATTTCCCGCGGATATTCCACGGATGAAAAACTGATTGATGTGAGGGAAAATATTCTCAGCATTGTTTCACAGCCTGCATGGTGCCAATATTAAATGTTTTCAAACGGAAATATAGCCTTGATAGACGCCATAATGATATCAATAGCCATTGATAAGACAATATTTCCTGGCAATTTTACCTTCCATATAAAATTTATTCTAAAAATATTTAGAAAATATTATCCCCTTCCATATTGACGGTCACAACCACATGCTTGTTATCATCAAATGAATAAACTAGAAAGCCTAATATTTAGCTTGGAAAATTCCAGATAAGTTTTAAGTTTTGGCTTTCTGTAGTCCGAGCCCGACCCCTTCCACTCCTCCACCATTAAAACAAAGGGATGACGCTTCCGAGTCTTCCAATCAAGCAGAGAATGCGAAGACATTACTGACATGCAAATAAAAGGCTCTTCTAAATTCTCTTCATAATCAGTGTTTCTGCAGTTTAGTTTCAACAGCTCGAGCCTCTTACAATCGTATGATATCCGTTGAACTATTCCATCTCCTGTCAATGCATTTCCAGCTTCTCCATTACTTTCATCATTACCGATAATTTATGTTCCATTTGCATAATGTCTTGTTTTGTCACGATACTGACTTGAATCGGAAGACTTTCCATTTAGAATTGCACAAATATGATTAGTGATTCAATATTTCTCAGTATTCCATTGGATCTTTTTGCCTGTTTCGAGCCAATCGCAGGAGTTCGTAGGTCTTCTGCCGCGCGCGGGCGCTCCTCTCCATCAACTCCTCCGTACGTTTAACCAACCAGTCTGCAAACTGTAACAGGCGCTCGTTTGGATCTGTAGAAACAAAAACAAAAAAGAAAGAAGAAAAATATATTAGATATGGAACATTTACAAGACAAATATGAACAAAAGTGATGTGTACATAAAACGTGTCTTTGTTAGATTTGTATTCATATTTTCGAAACTTCTAGAGGAAACAGTTGGGGAAGTATGATCAATGTGCACATTAGATAACATCCAAAGCTCCCCTAAAGATATCACTTAGGTGCTTAGTAAGGGTTCAATTTGACATCACTATTTTCATGTTCATGGTGGCGTAGCCAATGTTTTATTCAATGGGGGAGCACAAGTTTATCTTTGAAGAGAAATATTAGGCTCATAATTTTATATGGCCGAAAGAGTTAAAGTGTGTGACAAAAATAATGTCAAGAGAAAAAATATATATATATGGGGTATGGGGCACCCCTCCTCTCCTCCCCCTCCCCTGCTCGATTGAGGTTCTGGAGGGGACTCGGGGTTCAAGCCCGCACCCCCTCCTCCCCTCCAAAAAAGAAAAAAAAGAAGAAGAAAAGAAGAAGAATAGAATGATATGAAATAAAAAAAATTTAATCAATAAATCAATCAACACGACAAAATGAACGCAAGAATCCAAGACCCCAAACATCCTTTCCCTCAAAAGAAATCATCCAGAACCGCTCCTACCCCTATAATGACCATACTCTTTTAACTACGTACACTTTCTTTGGCGCATAATTCTTGCTTGCCTAGTTACAAGGAATGAATTAGTCATGAAGGAGTTAATTTGAAAGTCTGCATAATCAGAATGCGTCTTAACATCTTTCTTTTTTCTCGTTAGAAATTGATTACTAATGCCTCGTGATCTATAACGTCATCATTTCTGTGGTTTGGTGGCTCAGCTGAAAAGTGGTTCATACAAGCCAAGTCACCGGGCTGGTTAGGTTCACGGACAGTGGTGAAGGGTGCGGCAAGGGGTGAAATGGGACAAGAAAAATGGGGGGGGGGGGGGTAGGGACAGTATGAGGAGGAGACGCGTGGGTGGGATTGAATGGAAGGGAGACTTTAGGGCAGAAGGGAGGAGAAGACATACTAGGGGAAGGGGGAAATAAGAGGAAGGTACACGAAATTTGAAATTGTGAGTAGGAACGAAATTATACAATCATATTGCGTACCATAGCATAATGATGAGAAGTAGGATGAAAATTGTTCAACCCCCTTCTGAATGCTCTAAACATGGATACTTTAACAACAATTGTTTACTGAATTCACATTTTATTCTATCATAGAAGCAATGTCTACATGTTAATAGGATCAGGGAGTTGGAAAAAATATGTTCTAAAGTTTCTTCATTTGTCAATAAATTATGACTAAATATCTTACAAAATAAGATTTTCCGTCGATTTATGAACTAAAGTCATGATCGGTTTTGGGGGAGGGGGCCTTCGGGAATCACCCCCCCCCCCCCGCCCCAAATGAATGCAAGACCCCAAGCCACATCACCGTTATTCTTCTTGAACCACGCCTGACTAAAACGCTTTAAGACTGTAGAGATTTACAGGGGCGTTCGCTGTAATCATCACCCCCTTTAAGTATACCATCCCCTTCACATCCCTTTAATCCCCCTCATTGTCAAGTCACCTGGTGACCTTATCGCTAGCGGATATAGGTGAGTCATGTTCAAGGACTTTCATGGAGACGAGACAAAAAACAAATCAATGAATCTCTGATCAATTCATGAGACTCTTACTCGTTATTTTACACAATGAGTAGTGCTAATGCACTGATACAATCATGCTATTCGTTGCTATGGTTACGGTAGAATGCTGATGATACACCAACGCATGTACCTGTGACGTTTTATATCCGAGCTAGAATTAGCTGGGGGTAAAAATACAGGAACGAAAAAGTTTCCACTTTCTATGTTTTCTTATCTCAGGTGACGCCCTATTGAATGTCTGTTTATGAAGAAAATGAAGAATAAAAGTTTTAAAAAATCGAACAAGAAGGAAGGGAAGGTGGGCGTTCCGTATTCTGTTAAGCTCAAATCGAAGAGCACTTTGCATATTTTTGTTGTGCTTGTTTGATTGCTTGTAACTACAGTCTCCCTGTAATGCAGGCGCAGTTCTTGCATTCATTTTTTTTTACATGTGCCTTGCTTAAATTGATTTATAATCAAGTAAAATGGATGGGGGGGGGGTGGGGGAGCTTGCTTGAGACCCCTCTATATAGAATAGCGTCTGCCATAATGTCGAGAAAATTTACGCCTTCTCCCTTTAGCATAATCCCCGGATCTGCACCTTAGCAAAACAAAGCTTACTTATTATTCTTTTTCTTGGGTAAGCGAAATATCGTTATAGATTTGCATGCTGAGAAGTTCAAGTAGATTGATAATCAAACCAGCTTTTGTCAAGTTACAGTAAACCCACTTTGGCCAGGTAATTTGAACGGATTAAAAAACACCAAAATGCGTCGTTAAATGCGGTCATGAATACAAAGAATCCCTTTGAGTCCATCCTATAACTCTATATCCTGAAACTGCTGAATTACACAAAGAATGGCTATTCCTAGAGCCATTATCCAGATAAATACAAACAACAATTTGCGGCGCGCCCATCCGTCCATACGTTGATTCAGTTTCCAAGAGATTCATTCATATAAAAAAAATCTAACCTTCACTCGCTAAAAGGGAAAACTACATTAGAGATCATAATAAAGACAACCCATCCCTGGTTTTAAAAAACACCATTGTGGTGCACGGTACATATTATTTAGCATGACTCATGTTTTGCACAAAACAGATGAAAGGCCTATTCATAGTTGTTTGGCAACCAGTCAGGATATGGTTAGATAGACTATAACTGATATTAGCCCTTTTTTCGCAGGCAAAGTCTAACTTTAGAGAAATTTAGAATGGAAATTGGAAATTGGAAGATGGGGCAGATGCATCATGCAACATGTTCTGGTTCTGGTTCTGGTGGGCCACTGCATAAACTCCTCAGCTGGGATGTAGCAGTCGACTGAGCATAGTATCCTATACTTAATTTATGAAGTGGGCTCTAGAAATTATTTCGCCCATGTTGAGCTTTTGTAAGGTATCTTTAAAGGCTCCAGGGTGGGGGTATTTCTAGCATGGGTCGGGAGAAGGCCATTCGTGCCAACGATGACTAATCCTGAAGTTTGAAGATTGTCCTAACTGTAGTTTGTCCATTACAGTATTTTCATCAATAACAGTTTCAGCCCATTGACTAGTGGAACTGAATGGCTCCTATATTATGTTAGAACATGTGGGTATGAATGCAGTAGTCAATAAGTTAACAGCTGATAATTATATTTCAATGATGCTTCCAACGAAAACTATGGAAATATTTAATCATAGCTAGCGTACAAGAGAAGATGGATTCAAACGTATATAGTTTTCCAATTGTAAGGATTGTAAATGCATCACAGAGATTGCTCTGAAGTATAACACCTATAAAAAAGAGTGATACAATAATGAGCAACTATTCTAGGTGCAATATGACTATGCATTTTTGGCAACATCATTTTATGGTTTGGCTGGAATTCATACCCGGTCACGTATCGATATCCACATAAATATAATTTTGACGTTCGTTGCAACAGTCGTGTGGAAACCTTGGTTGAAGGATGTTTGAACAGTCATTGTGTCATTATACCGCTCTTCATGGAAATTCTGCACAATGAGACAATGAGCTAGTGTTTGTAGCCGAATTTCTCTTCATGCTTTACAAAATTTAAGTTAATATAAGACTAGAGCAGAGTTAAGACCCTCGATAATGATGATTTCAGGAGTCGAGGATCATGGATTTTGAGCAATCATAATTATCCATCAAGGAAATATCAATGAAAAGGCATGTCATCATCCATTATAAAATGGATCATCCTCACTCATCCTGGCCCAGACAGGCTCTAAAACCCATCAGATCTGACCCTTGCGTGTACCTGTAGAATGACTGACCAGCATGATGACCAGCAGCCTTCTACAGGTGTGACGTCGATCAAAGCATAAGTTGAAATAATTGAAAGGATACCTTCACCCCCCCCCCCCCGCCCCCCTCGCCCGCCCGTAACAAATTGATTGCATGCATGGTAACTATATTTATATTCTTATCATGAGTCTTGATTGTGAGCCTTCTGTGACCGGGGTCGGGGGGGGGGGGGTCAGGCCCTTTCTCTCGTACGAAATATTATTTCATTCTTTCCATTGTATGAAAGATGGGCTAATATTTCTCCTCACGAAAAGCAAGCTCAAAAAAGTAAATAATATAATTCATTACATGTCATAATGCAAAAACCACGTGCATTTTTTATGTGCGATATACCTTTTGTGAAAAGACTTTTTTTTATTGCAGGGAATTTGTCATGTTTGTTATTATCATACTAACTTTTTACTGGGTTGCCAATGATTCAATGACAATGGTTTGTTAGAAAGTGTAGACCTGCCAGCGCGTTTTGTAGAAAGCTTGTAAAACACTATATTATATTAGAGTTCATGTATAAATTGTTGCGTTGTACTTTCGCCCTCGTTTCTAAGCGTGGGCTGAACAACATAACAACAGCGCTACAGGGGTCGAGCAAATATTATTCCGACACCTATTTATTACTCAATTAGCTGCACTTATTGTGATTTACATGCCCGAGGCTTGACCGAGCTGAAAACAGTGTAATAATGAAGAGACATCAGAGAGAGAGAAAGAGAGAGAGAAGGAGAGAGAGAACGCGTGGTGGTGGGGGGGGGGGGGGGGGGGGGGAGGAGGATACTAAGACGGTAGCTTACAAGCTTTTAAGTTGAAAATAAGCATCTCGAAATAATGACAAGCCTGAAAGAAATAAGACGCAACGATGAAATTTCCAGTTGAATTAAATTATTGTATAACCGCTTAAAGAAAGTACACATATACCATCAACGGTGTAAATCTATCATCTAATGAGTAGAGCGACCAACAAGATTGAGGAAATAAGTTGTACATGTCGTAATGAAGTACATTTCCGTTGCCAAGCAACGCATTAAACTGTGA